CTGGGGAATTCTGGGAGTTGAAATCCACACATCTTAAAGTGGCCAAGGTTGAGAAACACTAATCTAGATCTTACTGAGTGCTCTTTATGATGAGATAGATGAGAAAACCCTCAGATATTCTGCTCGGTGCATTCAGAATGGAGGCCATGTATCTCTTATATCTGCAAGACTGGACAAGGGTGTGTATTATCATCTAACCGCAGGTTTCTGAGTCCTTACAGGATTTCTGATTGTCTGGCATCTAAAAGTATGTCTTGACTTTTACTCAATGCATTTCACTCTCCTTCAGTCCCTCCCCAGTTTCACACAGATGGAAGGTGGTATATTTTCACATGCGATAATCGCTGTATGCCAATCGCCCCACAGACCGTGACCCCATTTTGCTTCCATTTACTTAGAATTTCCAAGAAAACAACTGAGAGAAACTTTCACCTGTTTCTTGGGCAAATACATGAAACCATTCTGGTAGGGGGGAAAAGCTGCTATTTTCAAGGCTGAGAGAATGAGGAAATCATTTGTTAAGATTATTGTTGACAGTCCTGATTTCAAGAACATGTTGTTGGGGGTTGGACTAGAAGACCTCTCAAGATCCCTTTCAACCCTATGATTCTATGATTCTATGAAAATTGTCCTTTTCAGGTTTGGGGAACAGGCACCTTTCCTCCAATATCGCCTTCTTTCTGAGCAGGGATGTCAAAACAGTCAAGATGGTGGTTGCAGCTGAGTGATCAAAGTCCCACCACTTTTTGCATCAATGCTTCTAAGACATATGGTGGCCACCATCTTGGCCTTTATGACCCCCTTGAAGACCTTCCTGTTTTCAGGTGTCACCCAGTGCCCGTCCCTTGGTTCAAAAGAGTCCATATTGTTTCTTCTCATTTTGCTGTTTCCACTTAGGCATCTGGTAGAACTCATGCTTCGTCTTCCCAAAGATATCATAAAAATCTGGGTCAGACAGGTAGTACTGCAAAGAGAGAGGAAAAGATGAGCCCCAAGTAAGTTCTTTTTCCTTTGATTATTAACTAAATAAATAACTATGAATTGTTACAAAGTTGAAGGGCATAAGTGCAGTTTACTAGATGCCCTTATAGGCTCTAGATACCTCCTCCCAGAATGGCTGGGGCTAATTTTTTTTTTAAAGAAACTAGGGAGAGTTAAGATGCCAAAGAGAGGCTCACAGGAGGTTAGAGCACTCATTTTGCCCCTTGAAAGATATGATCCTCAAACTGGAACTTGGCTCCACCACTTTTGGAGAACATCTCCCCTCCCCACACTGATGGAAGTTGCCCGCTCCTGTTAGAAAGGATTTCCTAAAGTGCAGAACACCTTTTGGCCTGTGGGGTGAAGTTTCTGGTGGAGGGTTACACAACACCACTACTCTGAACTTGGAAAACTCTGTTCCTGTCCAAAATCAATATATTGGCCCCATTCAGGGTGTGTCCTCCCAGAATGGGCCCTGCACTCTATGTATATTGGCTTCCACATGAGAAGTTGGGACTGGCGCCAGATCCAAAGGGAGGACAAAATTTTCTTCCATTCGTTCATATTCTGCAGATATCATTTTTTAACACCCCCCCTGTTCAATTCACAACTTTATCCCTGTCATCTAAGGCTACCTTCTCAATAGGGCACCCTCCAGAGAAGCTGGCCGAGCCCCTTTCCAAAGGCTACCAGGATGGGGAATTCCAATGTAACTGCAACCACTAACACACACGTAGTATGTGAAAAGGACACAGAGGCTCAATTTCTGAAAATGTCAACAATCTTCCCCGAACTTGGCCACTTAGCCTCTGCTTGATGCAGGAGAACCTGGTACCTTCCATAACCATGCCTATGATGAACTTGGTGGAACAAACATCTAAACAACGCCCCAAAACTATACATTGTGTGAACCCTCCATTGTGTAATGCTAAACAGGTAAGAAGATAGACCACCCTACCTCCTTTTGGGTGGGGTCCACACCTTCTGGAAGTTCATCCACCTTCTTGTTAATCAGCAGATCTCTAGAAAACCCACCATTCTCATCTCTCTCTTGCAAGGGTGTGTTGGCGTTGTAACCATTACTGCGGTTTGTGAGTGTTTGGTTTTCCTGCAGATTTGACCTGGCCTCTGAAATGACTGGATTGGCAGCGACGGGCTTACTGCTGGAGTTTCTGTTGTTGAAGTTGGCGTTTTTTAGATCCTGTCAAAATATAGAAAAGCTTGTGAAACGGAGAGGCGCTTTGCCCATTACTCAGTGGGGGAATTCTCTCTACTGCAATGAACCTCAGTTGATCAGCCATGCCCAGTTACGTTCAGGAATATAACTCATCTGGGTTACATTTGGTGGTCACTATCCTGTCTGAGAGCAATCAGCGAGGATCTACTCTGACACCTCCTCACCAAGCAGAGAGAGGGGAACATCTCTGTTTCTCAGGCCTATTATTGGGCAAGAAATGTTGTGGGACAGAACAAGGATAGCAAAATGTCAGAGGATGGAACTATGTCAATGTGCCCTTTGCCCTCCAGTTTGTCATTGTCCTGAGAAGATACAGTCCACACCACAACAGAAATGAAATCCAACTGAAGTCTTCTTCTGCCTAGGCATTCCACATGCTAACTGATGCATTGAATCAAGCCATCCTTCCTCTAGCCCAGTTTTTCTCAGTCTCAGCAACTTTAAGGTGTGTGGACTTCAACTCCCAGAATTCCCCAGCCAGTATTTTTTTCTTTTTTCACGTCTTTGAGTCAGTGTTGACTCCTGGCGACTACCTGGACAAGTCCCTGCAGTTTTCTTGGCAAGGTTTTTCAGAGGTGCTTTGCCATTGCCTCCTTCCTGGGGCTGAGAGAGAGTGATTGGCCCAAGGTCACCCAGCTGGCTTCGTGCCCAAGGCAGGACTAGAACTCAGGGTCTCCCAGTTTCTAGCCTAGTGTCTTAACCCCCACACCAAACGGGCTCTCAGTGATGCTACAAAACAGTGTTTTTCAACCTTGGCAACTTGAAGATGTGTGGACTTCAACTTCCAGAATCCCCCAGCCAGCATGCTGGCTGGGGAATTCTGG